TAAGATTCTTATTCAAAGTTTAAAAATCCGTTAACAGAGAAAACGCAAGTAAACAAAATAAAACAACTTTAACAATATATATCTTTAAAAATTTCCAGACACATAGGGGTCATCCTTCCTAAATCCCTTTATTATACCTCTCAATTATTTTCCTCTTTGATTTTGATACTTCTTTTTCCTTCCTTTCCATATGAATGATGGGATTGTTGTCCTTTTTAATTGCACCGAGAAGGAAATATTTTCCACAATGAAATCCAAGTTGTTGAAATGTTTCGTTATGCGAAACGTAAAATCCATTTAAAGATTTAACTGCCGAGGAAACAGCTAACTCTAAAACACTTTTTAAAACAAAATGTGTATTAGGGTATTTTTTCTAGATTATTCGATTAAAAGTCTCATTGGGATTTTGGGTATAGCTGTGTAAACATTTTGACAAAAGATTATCAGAACAAATTTTGATGTAAAAATTTAGCAAAAGGTAAGTTTACTACTCTAAAATGCCTTTTTTTTCCAAAACGACCCCCCTAAAAATCACGATACGGGCCTGCCTTGAGAGTCCAAGTTAATGGGATTTTACTGTTTATATAGTCATTAAATGTATGTTACTACAGTGATTGCATTGTACATTGTGTAGGTTGCTATGGAAACTTTGTCCAAAATTTCCCAGCAAGCGAACTATTCAGTGTCTAATGAACATAAGATGGCTGCTACAAAATCTGACTCAACATTATGTAAGTCTAGGAAAAAATCTAGCGGTGCCAAAAGAAGATAAGAAAAAGAAGAACCGTAATTGGGTTTAATCATGCCGTTATCCTAAACAACGCAAACTGCTATTTAATAATGAACATTTTATCAATGTTGTTGAAGAAGCATCTGTTCCCGCGTCAAACCCAGTGTTAATTAAGAAAAATGCTTTTTTGTGGAATATAACGCCTAACGTAATCATTGAAACAAGTACCGTGTCAAATACAGTGTCTTCCAGTCCTCAACAAGATAAGCAATCAGATTTTATCATTAGCAAATCGCCCGTAAAAACTATAACAGACTTTAAGTCAGAACTTGGTGCAGTTGTTACCAAAGAAAGTATATATGATGTGTATATAGAACTAACAAAAGATGATGCTAACTCAAGTATTCTCAACCATAAACATCAGTGTATCGAAACAACAAAATTGATTTATAAACGGCTTCCTGACTGTGCACAGATTTAAAGCATTTACTGTATGATCCAAAAAGAGTGTACCAAAGATTGATATCAGATAATAAGAATGTAAAAAATCTAAATCACATAATGCTGCTGTAATTTTACTATTAAGTTGTACAACAGAGAAAGATATAAGCTTTTTAATCAACAAAGGTATAGTGAAAAAGCAGAAAGCGCAAGTATTGAAAAATATCGAAGTATTTAGACGAATTTTTGCAGTAGTTATTTTCATTGGGAAGCAAGCTCTTCCATACAAAGGTAATCGGGGTGAATCTCTCTACAGTTTACACGATAAATCTATTGATCACGGAAACCTTTTGGAACTATTATTGCTGATAGCAGAGTTTGACGTTCCTCTTAATAATCATATAGAAAAAGCTATTCAGGCAAGTCAAAAAAGGAAAAATTGTTTGATTCGTAAAGGAAAAAGAAGCTTAAGTGAACATAGAGGCTTGGTAACAATGTTGTCAAAGACTACATTTAACAATATTCTAGCTGCTATTTCAAACTTGATGAAGAATTGTATAATCAAAGAAATTGATGATCAGAAATTCAGTGTTCAAACGGATTATAGCCAAGATATGTCGGTGATTGATTAGGAGACAATAATCTTACGGTGTGTACTTGGAGAGGACGTGAAAGAGCGATTATTTGCGGTAAAAAAATTACTGATGAAACAGGTGCAGGACTATACCAATTATTGAAATCAGAACTTGAACGCAATGGTTTAAAAATGGAAAAAATTGTGGGTGAATCCTTTGATGGAGCAGCAAACATGCGTGGTGAATACCATGGAGTTCAACGTTACATTAACGACGTTTCACCAAATGCTGTCTACACGTGGTGCTACGCGCACGTTCTAAATTTGTCTGCAACAGATTTTGTGAAAAATATATTAACTGTCAAAAATTAAATTGGTCTCTTGCAGAGTACAGCAACTTCCTTTGGCGATTCTTGCAAAAGAATGAACGTTCTGACGGATATTCACATTGGACAAGGAGTTAGATCTGCGAAACTGAAAAGACTGCAAGAAATTGGTGAAACACGTTGGTGGTCAAAACAAATGGCGCTTGAACGAATTTTTGGAACTTATGACGCTCTACAAGTGGATTCGTTCTATGCAAATTTTTAACTGTATTAGGTTGTCTTCAAGATTCGATGCAAAATCAACATTCGAAGCCACAGCACTGCATGACAAATGGTGTTGATTCGATGTGCTTCTTGCAGCTTTTCTTCTTCTACGTTTTGCGAAAAGCATCCGAATATTTGCAAGCAAGAGGCCTGGATTATTTAAGTACTTGGAGTATCGTAGATTCAGCAAAACAAGAACTGCTGACAATATCGTTCAAAGATGTCCATTCCAAGACAATTGCATTTGTTAAAGAAATCAACACCTAGATGCTTAACCAACTCCTAGATGCTAGTGAACTTGATTTCATTGAGTTTTTAGTGAGCTTGAGTTCATCGAAAGAAATGTATGGCAGGAGAACTTGCCTTTGATGACATACCAGAGAATCCTCTTGATCGTTTTAGAATGGATGTTTTCCGTAGAGTAATTGATCAGATTACCACTAGTATAGATGAAAATTTCTCAGTTAACAGGAGTATCATTAGAGACACTGCGTGTTTAGATCCCAGACGTTTTAAAGAAATTGTTGAAAATGGTATTCCAGAAAACAGTCTCGCAAAAATTTCTCAACTAACTAATCTTTGTTCTGAAAGATTGAGATCTGAATCGCATAGCTTTGCTATAAACTTTGATAGGCTCTTAAAAACACTACGAGATGAATTTACATTGAGCCCTAGTGACAAAGATTCAGAAGAATTCAGTCTCAGAGTTAGATACTTCAATAAAAGCAACTGAAAATGAGAATGATAGAGATTTTCAGAACTTTGAGCGTTGTGTAGGGTCTTGTAAAAAATGTTTAAAATGTTGCTATAGTATTTTATATAAACATTCGTTGAATGCAGCTGTTCATTCAAATCTCTTTCTGGGTTACGAATATCTATCAACACTTTTATTCTCACAAGTGAGCTGTGAACGGGCATTTAGTAAATTAAAAATTGTCAAGACGAGGTTGCGTTCCTCGTTATGCAACGACAAACATTTATGTTAATGTCGACCGAGAAGGACATTTTAGATTTAATTGCAGTTGAGGCTATTTGTGTAAGGACTCCTTAGAGTTATCAAATAGGTTGCTGCTATAAATTACATTAGGAGATTGTAGTCAGTTACAGTATAAATACCATATATACAACAGGGTCCATTTTTTTTTTTTTTTTTTTTTTTTTAATTACTTAAAAAGAGATTTATTACTTATTTATCATGATAAATTCATCGTGTTATTATTATTGTTGTTGTTATTGCTATTATTATTGTTGTTATTGCTATTATTATTATTATTATTATTATTTTTATTACTATTATTATTATTGTTGTAAGCCTGAATGAACTTTGAACTTTGAAAGTGTGACATTATTTTACCTATTCATATTCAAATTTAAAAGACCTTTGTATAAACACTAGCCTATTTCTACCCCTATTCCGACCTTGTAGCGCCCCTCCCTCTTCCATTCCCGGTAGGATTTGAAGCTCCAGTCTGCGTTTGATTTTTTTTTATGTCTGTTGCAGCTCTATATCTGCCATTCATGTTTGAATTAAAATTTTTTGTAAATTTTACTTAGGACCCTTGTCCAACTATTTAGCTATATGCTTAGAAAATTTGAAGGTTAAATCTCAAATATTACTCAAGTTATTTATGTTCTTGTAACTGCACGTTTTTTGCTTTTTTATGCTGACTCAGCATCTTTTGACAACCTTTTTTTTTTAATTATGTTTTTTATATTGAGTTTGTTAACTAAAAAGGTTTCTAATTTTAAGAAAAGTATTAGGTTTTTAATAATAAAAAATGTAGGGTATTAAATTAGATTGTTTTTCTTTTAAATTAAATATAATTTATGTTTCTGTTAAAAGTCCATAAAATATAGAGTTAACAATTTAACGATATATATAATACATAACGATATATATAATATAGAATAAACAATTTAACCGTAAACGGAAAATAAAAAATATTAACAACCAATAAACTACGGTTCTCAAAACCGCGAACCGGTTCGCGGTTTTATGAACCGCGTTTTTTCAAACGTTTTTTCTCAGTTGCAACTCTATATCTGCCATTTACGTTTAAATTAAATTTTTATAAATTTTACTTAGGACCCTTGTCCAACTATTTAGCTATATGCTTAGAAAATTTGAAGGTTAAATCTCAAATATTACTCAAGTTATTTATGTTCTTGTAACTGCACGTTTTTTGCTTTTTTATGCTGACTCAGCATCTTTTAAAAACCTTTTCTTCAAAACAAAAAATTTGAAAATTTGGGAAAAGTTCCAAACAAAAAATTTGAAAATTTGGGAGTTCCTCTGTTCATTATTATTTTAATGATTTTCCACCAATATTTATTTTTCTCTTTTTTATTATTATTTGATTTTTTTTTAATTTTTGTTTGTTTATTTGATCGCTACAGGATGTCACTATTTTGATTAGTTTTCTAAATAAATGGCTCCAAAAAATTTAAGAAGTTTATGATTTGTTTGTTGAAGGTTTTTTTTCTTAAATTCATTGTTTTGCTATACAAACTCAGTACGTCTTAACTTACTTAAACAAAACTTGATACCTAATAATAATTTATTGGTCACATGACCATTTTTTGTTTGAAATGTTTTGAGCATTACTCGCCGCCAAATAAATTTTTTATATTTCTACGCAGCTACGTACCTTGATAGATTCATTAACAAAATATATCATTCAAAGAAAGGTTGACCAGGGTCGTAGCAACAATATTCTTCACTTAAGTGTAATTTTTGTACACAATTCAAATTTTTTTAGATGAATTTGATAATTAAACGCATGACTTTAGATTTATCGTTTGTTGTTGATATAACAAAAAGTAGATATTTATATTTTTTAGAAAAAAGAAATGTTCCATTTTAAAAACTCCTCTATAGTTATGTATTAAAATGGCTGTTGACATCCTAAAACCTAATGATTGCATAGATAATACTGTTAAAAATGTGACATTAAGTAACGAGAAAAATAATAATGTTAGTCAAAACCTAAATGAATTACCGCCATACCAGAAACTCGTTCAAGAACTTTCTGAAGACGAAAGGTGCTGTAAAGAATTGCAACTTGGTAGAAGAATTGGTTTTTATAAAATTCGAGGAGATCTTGGCAGCGGTAACTTCGCTCAAGTCAAATTATCTTACCACTGTTTAACAAAAGGTTTGTTAATTTATAAAGAAATTACCCAGTTTATTAATTAAAAGGCATAATAAACAACTTATCTACATTATTGAAGAATTTTTTATGTCAAGTGATGAATATATATATATATATATATATATATATATATATATATATATATATATATATATATATATATATATATATATAATATATATATATATATATATATATATATATATATATATATATATATATATATATATATATATATATATATATATATATATATATATATATATATATATATAGGGTGTCCCAAAAAACAACCTTTTTAAAAAATATATGCTGCCACCCCCTTAATGTTTTTTAATTGATAAAAAAAAAAAAAAAAAACTGGTTTAAAAAATTTTTTGAATTAAAAATATTTTTAGGGGTCCCCCAAGACCTTTTAAGATCCTAAAATTATCACAAAAAAAAAGTTTGCATCAGTTTTTACCTGTTGCATCAGTTTTCTTCAAAAATATATAATGTAAAGGTCTCAAATGAAGTGTATGAAATCATGAAATGAAATGATATGAAAATTTAAAAAATGATAATTATATTATAAAAAAACTGCATTTAAAAAAAAAAATATTGTAAAAAAAACTTATTAAGATGCACTTTTTTCTTTTTTAGTTAATAAACTTCATTTTTAATGCTGTTAAGTCTAAATGTTTCCATATACAGTTGTCATTTTTAAAAATTTAATATAACTTCGCTTCATTTGAGACCCAACATGATACACTTTTGAAGAATTTTTTTTCTGATAATTTTAGGAACTTGTTACATGTTCAAAGGTCTTAAGGGACCCCTAAAAATATTTTTAATTCAAATATATTTACAAACATTGTTTTTTTATTATATAGAACACATTAAGGGGTGGCAGCATATATATATATATATATATATATATATATATATATATATATATATATATATATATATATATATATATATATATATATATATATTTATATATATATATATATATATATATATATATATATATATATATATATATATATATATATATATATATATATATATATATATATTTATGTTGTTTTTGTATGCAGTGGTAGAGCACTGCTTTAATAAGCAATAGGTTCCGAGTTTGATCCCTAACATGCTATTTTTGTTTTTGGAGGTCTTTTTATGGGCCAGAACCTAAAAAGTTTTTTTTAAGGTTTTAAGTTGTTAAAAGTTCTACATTTTCATTGCCAATGTTTCACATAATATATAATAAGAAATTTCTCAGAACTTAGTCCAAATGAAATTAATGATTAGATTTTTTTGTTATTGTTGTTTATTTACCTCCTCAAGGTCATGAAGACCACTACAGACAAGGAGGCTACTTAGTTGTGGTTATAACCCTCTCTTAACTCTATATCTCCAAAACATGAACCTTGACAAATAAGGCCGCTGTGTGGAGGAACAAGTTGAGTGCAATACTGTCAGGGACATGTTAGGGATCAAACTCGGAACCTCTTGCTTATGAAGGTAGTGCTCTACCACTGCATACAAAAACAACAGATAGCTGTTAGTCTTACAAAAACAACATAAAAATAATGATTTAAAAAATATTAATCCTCATTTAAGCCACACTTGTATGGCTTAAATGAGTTTCCATAGTGTCATTAAATCTAGCATTATGGAAGAGTTGAAGCAACTGAGCTTTTAATTTGAAATTTTATAGTGAAAATAAAATTAAAAAAAAATTAAACTAGAACTTTCTGTAACTCTTTCTGTTAAAATAAAGTAGATTATTTAATGATACTATGCAGTTATTATAATATATCTTCCTTGTTAAAATCTGTGTTTATAATTATATAATCCTTGTTAAAATCTGTGTTTATAAACTGTTTAGCATATAACATATATACATATATAATATATGTATATATATATATATATATATATATATATATATATATATATATATATATATATATATATAAACTAAAATTCACCCGACTGATATGTATAACATATATACATATATAACATATATACATATATAATATATGTATATATATATATATATATATATATATATATATATATATATATATATATATATATATATATATATATATATATATATATGTATATATATACATATATGTATATATATACACATGTTGTTATTAGTTATATGTTGCAGATGCAATGTAGTGTTTAATAGAAATAATGTTAGATAATGCAACAATTTAATACTTATCTTTTTAAAATATATAATAATGTAATAGCAAAAATTTTAAACTTTCAATTACACATAATTTTAATTAAATTTTAAATATATTTTCAATATTTAAAAAAATTTCTTTTTATACGAAAAAAAAAATGTGTCAGATATAATACATTTTTATTTAGATATGTAAAGATACATGTCATCTGTTACTTGTGTTATTTAAACTTTTTTTTTTATTTTAAAATTAAAAAAATCTGATGATTTGTTTTAATTATCAAGTAAACCTTTTTTTAAAGTTAATTAGCATTGTGCCAGGTATTTGAATATTTATTATAACTTTTTTCACCTGATAAATAATGCTTTTACTGTTACTTTTTGTTGTTGTTGAAACCATTGAAAAGTTTTTTTTTTTTTTTCTTGTTAAAAAAAAAAAAACTTTAATGTTGTAATATATATGTTTTTAAATGTTATTAAAATGCTGTTTTTAAATGCATTTTTTAAAATATATATGAAAAAAAAAAAAGAATATAAATATAAAAAAAATAAATTAAAAAAAAAAACTGTTTTTAACAAACAAATATTTTTTTATTTTAATAAAACATGAATTGAATTAAAAATAGTTTTCTATACTCAATGAAAAGATAAAACAGAAACACTGTTGCTATGTTGTCATTTTAGTTTTATATAGTTATCATACATTTCTCAAGGTTTCAAATCTCAACATTATCTTTGGTAATGTTTAAAAAGTTTTAAGTGCCACTTAATTAAATTATTGCATTTTTAACAAGCAATGAAGAAAACTATAATCATTTTAAATTATTTTCATTTTAGTTTATATAATCAGGGTTCCCACACCTCCTTAAAAACCTTAAATATCCTTAAAAAATAAAAACCTCCTTAAATGTCCTTAAATAATCTTAAAAAAAGTTAAAATTTGACTGCTCTCCTTAATTTCTCCTTATTTTTTTTTTTTTTTTCATTTATTTAGAAAAAATTTTTTAAGTGAATGGATTATACTTGTTAATAAAGAAGATAATATATAGATTTTTGATAGTTTTCAAATCTATTTTTGTTACTATATATATATATATATATATATATATATATATATTATATATATATATATATATATATATATATATTATATATATATATATATATATATATATATATATATATATATATATATATATATATATATATATATATATATATATATATATATAAAGTAATAATAATTTCTCTGTTTATATTTAAAATTTATTGAAAAAAATAAGATTATGTTTTTAATGTAATTGTTTTCTCCTTAATTATCCTTACTTTTTCTTTCAAAAAAATGTTGTTGGCGACCAAATCTCCTTAAATATTAGGAAAATATCTCCTTAAATCTCCTTAAAATCCTTAATTTTAGCCTTAGTTTTAATAGTGGGAACCCTGATATTGGCGTTTAATTGTGTTTCTTTTTTTTTAAATTGTAAATATTTAATTTACTGTAATAAATTGTTGTTTGATTATGCTGTAACCAAGGCCGGTCCTAAACCTTTGCTGGTACCAGCAAAAATTGAGAATCTGTAATAATGTAATGTATACAGACTTCTCCGAAATGTTACCTCTCCTCTCTCTCCTGATTCTGTTTCTGTTGACTCCATGGTCACCTTAAATTTGCTCCTCAGCAAAACCATTGCGCTTCACTTTTTGGTGGATTGGAAGTATAGAATTGATTTTTAAAGTACCTACAGCTAATTTGGCTTCTTTCAATTTTATTGACCACTTCTCCCGAAGAGATTTGCTGTGAATAATCAATGCTTCAATATTTTTCACTTAAATATCAATAGTTATCTTTCTTGCTTAAATGACCTGGTTGTAGCAAACAATCAATATGACTTTTATTCAATTACCAGACATGAGAACACATTTAAAGGAGCATATATATTTATAACCAACTAACTACTAGTGGGGGCACCTGTAGGGGCCAAGGCCCCGAGCAATTTGCTTGGGTGATTTGCCCTCTGCATGGATATATGAAAAATTATCACTGGTACCCAATGATGTTGCCACTAAAGATATATTAAATAATATATCTTTATAAAAAAGGTAATAAATAAATAAATCTAAAAAAATTTTATCATAATAGTTTTGAAAAAATATGATATTTAATTTATTTAAAACTTTATTTTCAGTTAATTGTTTACAATAGTTTTATAATCAACAAAAACTAAATAAAATTAACACACTAAACTGTACACTAAGAAAATACAAACAAACATACATAGCGTGAATAAAAAATAAATAAAATAAAATAAAAATAGCTTACATAGTAAATAATATAAATGTCAATAAATACAACAAGTTGATTATTTTCGATGTAAAAAATAAAAATTAAAAAAAGTTATTTTTGACAGATTTTACAAAAACAAGAATTTCCGTGACATTTTAAAATACTTTTTTTGAACATCTTTAGACAATTTATTGACATAGTTTCATTGTCTAAGGAGTTCCATAGTGAGGTTGCTCTATATAAGTTACTTTTTATAAACTTATGTTTAGAGACTATTGGTGGGAGTACTAATTTTTTACTACATTGAAGACTCAACGGCAGGGATTTTTTGATAAAAAGATCTAACATAAAATCTGGATTTAAATAATATTATTATTGGTAACAAATGTTGCTCCCACTAAAGAGCACAAAATAAAAAGGTATACAAAAGATTGATTATGACAAAGATGTAAACTGGAGATTGCTAATACATTACAATAAAAGATTAAAAAAAAAAAAAAAAAAAAGAAAGATAATGATTAAAAAACATCTTTAAATTTATATCTGGTATATAATATATAATCTTATAATTAGTCATAATTATTTTGAAGACTCAATCATTACTATCTTTGCTATCAGATATTAATCAGACATTAAAAGAAAAAAATATTTGTTCAAACTTTATGTCATTTATTATCATTTTTTAAATGATACATTTAAATTACCATTGCTACAAGATGTACAACTGAAAATTACACATTTTATTCAATTTATATTTATATCAATACAATGCAAGGTGTGTAGTTAAATTTCAATAAAAAATTCCATCTTCAGAGTTGTAAATTACGTAACGTCAAGGTAACGTGGGGTTACTTTGACATGTGTTTAAATGTTTTTACTCGTCACCTGTTAGCTATTGTTTAAATTATTTTAACAGATGCTGTAGCCAGATGTTGAATAAACAAATATAACTATTTATCGACATAATACTAAGTATAAATAACACAATACAGTGGGTGTAAATTAAACTAATTTTTACTTTTTGTTGTTGCTGAAAATTTTTGTTAAAAGATAAGTAAAACCATACTATAACATCATTTTACATGTGTTTTTATAATGTTGTTTATAAATACTAAGCATTTAAGGTTTCTTTGTAGCATTATTTTTTAAATGCATATTTCAATTTTGCAGTAACATTGACAGGAATGCTTAAGTCATCAAGAATCAAGCAAAAAGTTGGTGGAATATCTTATATCTGATGAATATTTTACGGTTGCATGAAATGGAATCAAACAAAGGAAATCCTAAATTAAAAGAGTTTAAAAATGTACCAATACATCATGTTAACAGATCTAAAAACCGACATTTACAGAAAGTTAAAATCCACACCTAATTATGATGCATAATAGTGGTAAGAACAAAACCTTAAGATGTAAAAATTTCATTGAATTTATACTCAATATTTATAAAAGTATATATGGAAATTTTTACAAAAGTATAATTGAAGAGCTTAGTGTTAAAAGTACTTAAGTTACAAAATAAATTTTTTGAGAAAATCTACTTATATTAGATTTAAAATTTCATTGTCTCAGGTATTAAACCAAACATCAAAAAATATGTTACAATAAAATCTAGCAAAAAACAATTCTGCAAGATTTTGTTGAAGTCAAAGTCATTGATGTATTGTAGAGCTTAAGAGTTTGATCATTTTTAGAAAAAAAGTTTTTAATCATAAGTTAACATTTTTTAATCATAAATTAATATAATTAATTAATTATAAATCATAAACGTTTTCTCTGTTTTGTTTATCAAAACTACAATGATAATTTCACTTCTCACAATGTAAATATACATAGAGATTTTTTTTCATTGTTTGGAACACGAAGAGCCTTTGAACAAAATAATATAACACATAATATAATGGATGAATAAAACGGTTAAGGTTCATCATTTGACAGGAATTGATTAAGCGTATTTCATTTATTACTGTAGAATTGTAAGGATTCATTTATGCTGGCAGGAGATATTGGATTTATGTGTTTTTTAGACAAAAACGTAACTTTTGGTACATAGCTCCCATTTTTAGTTTACAAAGAAAATAGTAGGTCGTATGTAGAAAAAATGTATATTATTTTAGCTATTCCAGTCATTATTATTTCTTACCAGCTTAATTATACTAACTATTATTTGTTACCAGCTTAATTATACTAACTATTATTTGTTAACACCTTAAAGGAAATTTAAATACTTGGCTTAAAATTGACGATAAAATAGTAAAAAATTTTATAAATTTTGCACTTGATAATACATAGACAACTAGCGCCAGACTATTGGCATTAATTTTTTTAGAGTGTAGACGAAAATTTCAGGTGATCGCAAGTATGGGTTTCTAACTATTCTCAGCAATATTGTGTCAAATAATGTTCATTATATTATTATAAATAATACAAAAAATATTTAAAAAATCATTTTACAGGGTAATATTAAATGTAACAAAAAAAGTCAATATTATATATTTAGTAACTGTGTGCAAAAAGAAAATATACAGAGCATAGCTTAGCTAGACTTTAACACCCGATTTATGTTAAAAATCTAACTTCGATTTGAAATTTGTAATTGACTTTGATTCTACAAACCCCAAATTCAAAAATCCCAAATCTGTGCATTTAGAAATTGTTTTGAATGAAATCAAAGCCCTTTGTACAAGTAAATTACTTTTTACAATAATAATTATGATGATAAAGATTTATATAATATCTTGTATTTTTAGAAAAAGTTGCTTTAAAAATTCTTGACAAAACAAAGCTTGACGAGAAGACGAAGAGGTTGCTCTCACGTGAAATTAAATCTATGGAAAAGTTAAATCATCCAAACATCATTCGCATTTTTGAAGTTCTTGAAACACCCTCTAAAATATACATTGCTCTTGAGTACGCTTGCCATGGGGAACTCTTTCATAAGATTTTAAGTAACGGCAAGTTTTTAGAATCAGAGGCAAAAGTTTACTTTGGTCAGCTCACTTCAGCAGTTGCATATATGGTACTTATCTTTCTATGTCATTTAAAATTTTAGTTTAAATGTAATATATTGTAACTCGTTTCGAACTATATGTCACGTCACCTTTGTTAGTATTATTTCATTAATAACGCTAATAGCTTTTGTTTTGATAAACGATAAATATTTTATTTTATTTACTAGCACCAGTGCAACATTATTCATCGTGATATTAAAGCAGAAAACGTATTTCTTGCCTTAAATGGTGTTTGTAAAATAGGTGACTTAGGTTTTAGTACAGTAGCCAATCCAGAGGATAAACTTAATACATTTTGTGGTAGTCCCCCGTACGCTGCGCCCGAACTTTTTAAAGACGATTATTACATCGGCAGATATGTGGACATTTGGGCACTTGGGGTTTTACTGTATTTTATGGTAACAGGCTTCATGCCCTTCCGCGCTGATACCGTCGGAAAATTAAAAAGAAAAATTTTAGAAGGATCTTTTACTATACCCGATCATGTTTCTGCGACTTGTCGTTTTTTATTAACGCAAATTATTCGAATGGTACCTTCTGATCGGTATAGTTTAAGTGAAATTATGCGAAGTCTTTGGATGGAAGGTGTAGAATTTCCAAAGCCTTCTAAGTCTCTATCACTTAAACCAGTAATTAATTCGATTGATAATTCTCTAGCCGAAAAAGAAGCTTTAAAGCAATTATTAGGCTTTGGAATTACAGAAGATATGATAGAAAACTGTACAGACGATTCGAACAATTGTATAAATGGTACCTACCGAATAGCCGTATATCAAGAACAGCGAAAAGATCTAGAATTTCAAATTGAAAGAGAAGCGATGATTCGTAAAGATATCGAAGAAATTCGATTGAACAAACGAAAATCTGTCTCTAAATCAAGTTCAAGCAATACACCTAAATCAGAATTTTGTACAATACTTTGAAAAAATCTCGACATCGTATAATTGTGTTCTAAAGCCACCTAATGTATTTAAACTGTACAAAACTATTTTTTAATTTTTATCTTGTATAATAGAAAAAAGCTGTACATATATTTATGGAAATATTTAAGCGTTATTTATATATTTAATTTTTTTTTTTTTTTTTTTTGATTTAAAAACAAATAAATCAGTAAAACCAAAAATAACATCCTTTTAACCAAAAATAACATCTCCTTTTATTTAATATAGTTGCAATAGTGTTGAATTAAATTCTTCAACCAGGGCTAACGTCACTTTGTTGTTTCTAAACCATATATATAACCCTGTCGAAAATATAAAAAATACCTTATACCGATGTTTATCCGGTTATTCTTGATTCATTTTTTTTTACTACACTGCAGTGTTGCCGAAAATCAAAACAGTGACTTACTTCAAACATTATGTCTGATAGTGGGTTTTGTTACTAATTACCCTGACTAAGAATTTTCCAATTTATGAAATTCTAAATGTGACAGGGTAAATGGTAGTGGCTTCTTGAAGTTAAGTTTTTAAAGAATTTTTGATAAAAATTTTCAAGATGCTAGGGGTGGAATGCAAGAGGCGAACTTGAGTCAAGCTCGACTTGAACTTTACATTGTAACCAATAGCGATAGAGTATGGGTTTTCCCCTCAAAATATATTCTGCCGCTATTGGTTACAAAGTAAAGTTCAAGTCGAACTTGACTCAAGTTTGCTTCTTGCATTCCACCCTAGATTTTAGTAATTATTATTGTTTTGATATATAGATCTATGAAAAATTAACAATATATAAATCTTTGGAAAGGTTATAATTTAGACTTAAAAATAAAAATAAAAAAATTTCCTGAAAAAGTTGGTTCTACAGTTTTTAACATTGAAAGAATTCATCACAAAAGTACTAAATTTTAACTTCGATGAAAAATTAAAAAATTGTTACAACTTGTACCTTTTCGATATTTTTTAGCCTCTAGTGTCTATTAACTATCCTGAGAAGTGTGGCTACGATCATCCGCGATCTTGAGCGCTAAATAATTTTGAAAAATTGATGTTTTTTTAAACAAATAAAAAACATATACGAATAAAAACAATTTTTTTTATTCATTATTAAAAGTAAAAAAAAAAATACTTTAGGTCATAAAAGACTTAAGTAAATTTGTTTTCGTGTTCTTGAAAGAAAAAAAGTTTTTTTTTAATTTTAAATTTGTGTTTATGGCTTTAAAATACATAATTAGTTTAAATGTCCCACTTATCAAAAACCACATCAATTTCTAAATGTTGTTAAAAAGTTTCTTTTTACTTTGTAAGTTTATTGTTGCAAACTAAGATAAAAGAGGAAATCACACCTACCAGGTGTTTTTGTTTTAAAAAAGTGCACACGCCCAAAGTAAGTTTTTCTAGCAAGGTATGATTATAGTGTAACAAAAAAGTATTTCACAAAATTTGAAAAGTATTTCCCATCAATTAACAGTGTTTTTTTCATTTTTAATTTAAATAAATAATTTTTTTTTTTTTTAATGTTTTTTTTTTAATGTTGATTTAAGGTGCCCCAAGAAGTCCTTACGGTCTTATCACAGAGCACCGCGGAAGAGCATTTAATAGGAAGTTCACGCCTCCTTCCCAACTGATATCGCAAAACTTGCCCAGAGATGGGGTTCGAACCAAGGGTTTTATGTTTCTGAGACAAGTGTGCTACCACTGCGCCACGGCTGCTTAAATAATTTTAAAAGAAGTAGACAATTTATAATTCAGTTGTATATATATATATATATATATATATATATATATATATATATATATATATATATATATATATATATATTATATATATATATATATATATATATATATATATATATATATATATATGTATATATATATATGTATATATATATATGTATATATATGTATATATATATATATATATATATATATATATATATTATATATATATATATATATATATATATATATATATATATATATATATATATATATATATATAAGATTGCTACAAATTAGTAAAATAAGTAGCGGTTGAATCAGAAACCTTTTAAAGATATTAATAAATTATAAATTATTTATAAATTCATAAAATTAGCTATATTACTAACATTTATTTTTTTGGTTGCTTTAATTTTATTACTTTAATTATCAGTGCTTTATTATATAAGAATATATATTATATAATTTAATTATCTATCCTTTCTAATCAACGGTGGTTTTTAATTTTAAGCATTTGCAGACATTTATTATGCTTTTTAAAACGTTACTTTAAAAACAACAACAACATCGTAATTTTGATTTTTTTTTTTGTCATGGTTTTTTCAGTAACCTAATAAAAAAGGTTATATCATTGCTTTGAAGATGTTTATACCAGATATATATTCATAAACTAATAAATATATGGCCAAGGAAAACACATTTAATTTGAAATACTTTAATTTGTTAATTTTTATGTAATAAAAAACGCGGGAAAGTCGGAAATTATTTTATGGTCATCCTTACTACTAAAACATAATAATTAAGCATTTGTTAGAATTTTTATGCTTTAAAGCTGTATATATTTTAAAAGAAGAAGGTTTTAACTTTATAATAATAAAAAAAATCAGAGTCTGGTTACTTTTTTAAGTTTAAAAATTTTGTATATCAAATCTTATATTTTAGCAATAAAAAAAAACATATAAAAATAACTGAGTCTCATGAAACAAAACTAAAAACATTATGCAGAATATGTGGAGAAAGTGTAGATAATGATAGTGTTCTTTTAACAAAACATATTGTAAGAATAGAATTTTGTTTTTTTATCCGAATCGATAAGGACCACCCAAATATGCATCCTCAAAAAATGTGTTATAGATGCTTTTCAATATTAAGAAATATTGAAAAAGCTTCAAACACTGAACTAAAATTAAGATCATGGCCTGAAAATTGCAATCTAACTGAATGTGTTTGCTTTAAATCCAATAAAGGAAGAAAAAAAAAAGAAAAAGATAAGTGGAAGACCTTTGAGTATTAGTTATAGTGAAAATATTTGGACTAGACACAAAATAAAATAACATACAATCTAAACTTTCACCTCAAACAAAACTTAATCTTAAACTGCAAGATATTAACTGCATCTTAAACCCTCATGTGCATCTTTGTGTTTGTACTATTTGCAATGACATTATGCATAAACCAATTATTATAAAAAACTGTTTTCATTCATTTTGCGCATCATGTCTATTACCACTTATCATTGGCAAACAAATAGCAAAAAACAAAATGCCCTAAATATTCCTTTTCAATTCCAAGTGATGGGTTAATTTCATCAACGAATGTCATTGAAATGATAGAAAATTTACAAGAAGTATGCAAGCAAGGTTGTTGTAGATTGTTTAAAATCACACAACTGTCAGAACGAAAGAAACATCAAAAAACTTGTCAGAAAACTCAAATATCAAGTTGAACAACATTATCATTTTAGAAATTTAGAAATATCTACAAATAAATCTAATTTAAAGTTTAGACAACTTAATTAGTTGTTCTCTGTTTACTTGCGAACATTATTGTTTACCAACATTTGAACAAAATATAGCGCATACGCATAATAAATGTCTATTACTAAACCACCGTGAACCGCTGAGAAGTACTCCACTAAAGACCAATTGTTATCTACTATGAATTCTTTAAACCCAAATTTTATTAATTTTCGTCTGTGCTTAACCCGAGTTGTTTTTGATATTGCAACCATATCAGAATAATTTTTACTTCTGGTTAACCTTTTTTTTTTTTTTTTTTTTTTTTTTTCGTTCTTTTTATTACATGTAAAATAAGCATTTCGTTACAATATTTCAAATACAAATATATAATAATAAATTTATATATAAATATAATGGTCGTTATTAGGAAATAAAATAACGCGGGGACTCGAAGAAGACCATACGGTCTTGTCGTCGAGTACCGCTAAGAAATGTTCGTGTTAAAATTTAAAAGATAATTACAAGATTAAAAAATAAAAATAAGTTAACAAAAGTAAGAAACTTAAAATACTCCATAATAAATACAAGATGCGTTATATTTATTATATATGTAAATTATAGTTGTTAAGGATACACATATACTTTTTTATAAGTTCATGTTTAAATAAATGGTAAAAATAAAGATCACAAAAAATATCAGAAGTATATTGTTAAATCATCGATTGTAAAAATGAGTTCTTTAAGCTTTTGTTTAAAAGAAAAGTAGTTACTTTGATTAATAAAATCCTCAGTAAAATTTTTTAAAACTATTTTATTCCATAAGAATGGTCCGCGATAATCAATACAAAATTTTAAAAAGATTTGTTTTGAAAAACGGGCTGCTTATTATTGCGTAAAATGTATTTTATTTTTATCTTTTGATGAAATACAAATTATGGAAAGAAAATCGGGGATGAATTGGTTTACATTTAAACATAAAACAAAGAATATTAAAAATATTAATCTCATATATATTAAAAACTTTCATTTCAAATAAAAGAGGCTTGGCATGACGTGCCATATATAAGACGTGCTACATGCTTCTGCTGACAATTTTAAGTTTGTTTTTATTTGCACTACCCCAAGCAATGTTTTGCATAGTTTATGTGGCAATGAATAAATGAGTGATATAATTGTACTAAAGTTTGTTTATTCAAGACATTTCTCGCTTTGTACAATATTTCCTACACTTTTTGAAATTTTACTTGATAAGTTTTTAATTTGATTTTTCCATGTAAGATTTTCATCTAAACAAACGCCTAGAAAATTAGTTACTGTTACTTTTTTTTAATTTGTATATTGTCAATAACAAGTGGAGGCATGTTAATTGGCAGTTTATGTTTTTTGGTAAGAGGATGGAAAAGAATCCATTTAGTTTTATCAATGTTAAGGGATAGTTTGTTTGTCTTAAACCAGCCAGATATTTTGATTAACTCGATGTTCGCGTTAAGAAATAAAGTAGGAATGCTTTTTGTAAGACATAAATAAATTAGTGTCATCAGCAAACATAATTGTTATTAAATTCGAGGCTTTGTATAGATCATTAATATAAATAAGGAAGAGGAGAGGTCCTAATATGGATCCTTGAGGAACTCCACATGTAATATTTAACAAATTTGATGAAAATGATTTATCAGCATAAACAAATTGTTTATGATTGGTTAAATAACTTTTTCAACCATTTTAAAACACTGCCTATTATACCATAATATTCTAATTTTTTTAATAAGAATTTTTATAATCAACTGTATCAAACGCTTTCGCTAAATCAATGAATATTCCCAAATGTAATTTTAGAATTGTTAAATGAGTCTGATATACTTCTTGTAAGCTGAGTAATTGCATGCTCTGTTGAATTATTTTTTTTTGAATCCATATTGCATGTTATATAATAATTTGTTTTGTTAAAATGTGATTGTATATTCTGTTGTACAAAATTCATTCTAAAATTTTTAGAAAAAACACCCAGTAAACACAGGACGTTTTTAAAACGTTTTAATTCCGTTCAATTTACGGTCGGACGTTAAAAGAACCAATACAATCGTTTTTAAAACGTTTTTTTGCAAGCGTTTTTTTTAATGTTAATTTAAACGTTTTTTTAGCGTTTTTTAAACGTTAATTTTTTTTTTATTAACTTACGAAATTTCTCAGTTAGCTTATGAACGTTTTTAAAAAGTGATAAAAAAACATTTTTTAAACGTACAGCACGGCAATATTTAAAAGAGTATGTTTACTCCAAGGCCTTCTTAAACAGGCCGCGACAGCTCATTTTCCGTAAAATTAGCGAAGGCCGACTTTTTTACTGTTAAAATTATTTTTTATCTTTGCTTTTGTAAACAAACTTCAGAAACAAATAAAGAGCTTTATTAGGACAAAACATATTGATTGAATTTCGAAAGCAAATATTGTAGGAATTTTTTTTACGTTTAGAAATAAATTAATTACAATAAAAATTTAAGGAGTTTAGCTAAAAATGACTAAATCTCGTTTTTATAACTATATGTTTATTTTAGCTGTTTAACACTTGTAATACAAATAATAAATTTTTTGATAAAAACAAACAAATATATTAACTTTATTTTATTAAAATTATTTTGACTTTTTTGACTCAAAGTGTTTTATTTTGAAGTTGAAAGTTTTGCTTGTTTTATTAAACATTCCTTCCCAAAATCTTTAGAGTGTTTTTTACAATAATTGTTTAAAAAAATGTTTGCCAAAATGTAGCAAACTTTTTTAACACTTTGAACAAGCAATTGAAATTTACTATCGCAGTTAATAAAAATGTCAATTAATCCTTTCTTGCACAGCAATGGTGAAACTTTTATATTTGAAGTGACACTTGTGAATAAGTGTCACTTCAAATATAAAAAAACAATAAAAAACAAAGTAGACTAAATTGTCAGAAGGCTTCCCCTGTTCAAAGAACTGATCAAAGTTCCATATTTTTGAAACATATCAAAGGTGTCTGTTTCTTCTAAAGTTGAGTGTAATTCTGGAAGTTTGTAAGCAATAAAACCTGCAATATATAAAAGCCCTTGTTTGCATTCATTTGGCAAGTGATCCTCACAATTTTCACATATTGACATATTAAACTCAACATAAAATTCACACTTATCACAGTGGTGGTGAGCAGGAGGAAATATTGTAAAATCTGTATGTTTGTCTAGCAACTTTCTAGTTTTGTCGATTCTAAATTTTTGAATATCATTTTGCACAGTTATCAGATATGTGCTACCTGACCCTTGCCGATATTTCCCAAACTGTTTTTCTAGTGCATCTGATTGCATATGTCCTAACAATACATAAGATACACCGCAATTCAACAAATACTTGGCACAGCTTGCTAATCTTTTAGAAGTTTTTTGCAAAGCACTTGCAGTATCCATTGTTAACTTTTTCTCTCTTAATTTTGAATTTACACATTTCAAACTTTCAGCAAAATACGAAATATAGTTCTCTAAGAAATCTATTTGCCAATCATTGACTGAAGAAATAGGCTTTTTTCGAATATCATTTAATCTAATATCTAGACCTTTTGCTTTACTGTTGACAATAAGCCACCACTTAACAACTGTTTCAATAAAAAGTGCAGTATCTTCAGCTTCAGGAAATTATACATGTAATGCTGCAACTGTTTCATCACAAAAAACTTTAAGAACTAATCCAACATTTTGTTGCTCAATCGGTTTTGGTGACACAGCTTTTTGTGTTAAGGGTGACAACTTAACTATTCGACTATCTGCAGCATGAAGTTGAATTATAAATTTCCATTCTGCAAGTCGCACAGTATTGTTATCATTTAGCAATCTATATTTTAAACATTGTAATTGTTCAGTGATCCAATTATTTCGAATACATTTTAAAATATGCACAGTGTCATTTAAAAGATAGTATGCTGGAACTTTTTTTGCATTAAAATATTGAAATGTTTTTTGGTTTACTCAACAGTTATCCATTATTGACCCAAGAGGCTTTCCACCTGCAATTATGATTTGTTGATTTATCTTTTCTATCACGCTTGTTTGAAAATTTGTTGTAGAATTTGTAGCAAAACAAGCTTTTCAACGAGATCAAAATATACTAAACGAGATTTTGAATAAAGATGCAATGCTTCAGAAATGTCTTCTAAAGAAAATGGTGTATTGTTTGTTTTACTTAATAAAGCTACTTGATGCCTAATATAACTTGCTCGCTTAGAATCTGTTTCATTATTAATAACATAACTAACAGCATTCTCCAGTTGAGAATAATATTTATTAACTCCTTTTTTTAAAAAAGACAGTTTAATTTGTAAAAGTTGGCTTTATACAGTAAAATAAATATCTCCAGAATCTTCTAAAGTTATATATATTGAAAACTTAGGTACTGGTCCACAATGTTCATATGATATTAAAGATATATTTTTTTCTTTTTCAACAAAATAAAATTTTTCTTCACAGTTATTTATTATTGACTTTAACAATTAAATTTTTAACAATTAAATTAAATTTAATAACGTTCATTTTTTTGAAGTTTTCGAACTCATCAGGTAAATTATTTCTTTCAGAGCATATTAACCCAGTGATATCTCGTTTTCTAGACACTATTGGAATACAAGACACTGGTATACCTTTAAAGACTGATGGAGGATGCACTGGAACAAAACTACCACCTTTGACTTTTTTTAATTCTGCATCTTTAGGCCAGTGCTGAGCACAAATTAGCTTATAATCTGTAAACACAAAGTTTGCATTTGGAAGTTTTTTAATCCATAACTTATAGTTTAAATCAAACAACCAAAATCCTCATTGAAACTTTAATTCTCCGTAAAAAAGTCGGCCTTCGCTAATTTTACGGAAATTTAGCTGTCGCGGCCTGTTTAAGAAGGCCTTGGTTTACTCAAATAATGGCGTGACCTTCGATTAGGCGAATTGATTTATTTAAGTAAAAATTATATAAATTAGTATATATTTAAATCAACCAAGTGTTTGTATTGTTTTTTTGTAGAATTAAATTTGAAAATATATTGGAATATTTTTAGTTTAAAGTTGTATGCCTTCGTTGAAACTAGGTTGTGTTTGTATTTCTACTTGAATCAAGTAGATATGATTAATAAAGTTTTAATGGTGTGGTTAGCTAGATTATTTTACTCTAATAAGTAACTTAATTGTTGAGTAAACTTGAATGCTTAAAAAAACTAGATTAAGTTTTTAATTCTACTTAATTTTCAACTGCTTTTAACGCAAAAAAATCTATTTGGATTTGAGAAAAGGGAACAACATTCTCAGAATTTTTCTTCTTTAACTCTAAAAATTAAAAATAATATCAGTGGTTTTTATAAAGGAATTACTATAGTTAAAAAAGGCTGAAAGGAAAAAAATATGATGATTTGTTTCAAGAAAGGGAGTGACTTACTTCAAAATGTCATTTTAAAATTTTTATTCTTTAATGATATTCTGGTGTTATTACCAAATGTTTAGCAGTATGAAACCTATAATATTATATACCATACTATATACCCTATTTTACTTATAAAGTTAATAATATTTAAAGTAATTTGTAAAAATTTTTTAATTGTAAAATTGCTACATTAGAAGACAAGTTGTTAGATGAAATTCAAATATTCTCTATGTTTGTATTGTGTAGGTCAAAAAATAATAAACAAAGATGATATTGATTGTGATGACCAAGAGATTCATTTTAAGACACATCAATCTTCATCATCTTTAAATAAAAAGGATAAACATGGATTTCCATTATCTCAAGCAAGTAAGTCTTTAGTTAAAATTAATAGTGTAATGTTTGTTGTAAAATGCTAACATGACTGTCAATATTAAAAAATATCATTAAAATGATGAGGTTCCAATTTTAACTTTAAATAATCACCTTCATGAAATCCATTATTTCAATATTATCAAAACTATAAATCTATGGAACAATTTTTCTTGTCTAATCCCAAACCTGAGAAAAATGCTAATATATATAATATAGCATTGCCACTATTAGGTATTTTAATGTCTATTAGTTTTTCTCTGATTTAGGCTTAGACCAATAAAGTTGTTAAATTGTTAAATTTATGTATTTTAAATTTATTTACGTAGTTTAGTTAAGACAATGTAAAATTTAATTAGTGTAAATTTGTTTAGACTTTCAATATTATGTGTTGCTTCTCTTAAATGAGATAAAAACCCAAGGATGCAAAAAACTTTATATAAAATAGTGTGAAGAAGAAGTAGTAACTGAAATGAACAGCATAATAGAATTTGATAAGTTTGACTCAGCACTTGACAATGTTTCATCTAGTAACTCAGTAGTATCTCTGCAGTTGTAAATTGCTAAATACTGATTTGACAGGTTTTTCTTTTTTTTTTTAATTTTCTTTACAATATATAATTTTTACTACTTAATTAGGAATTGCCAGATTTCCATTATTTCTTTCTATTAGAAACAAAGAGTTCAAAATATTAGTGGTAAGAACTGTCAAAAACTTGTGATAGCTATGAAGAAGAGGTTAGTAAATTAAAAGTGCATTCCTATAAATACTCTGTTTAATTTTATAATGATATTACTCCCATCTTACAATCCATTATACAATTCCCATGCATGGCTCTACGTTAGCCGTTTTACCATAATGGGATGACTGAATAACCGTGAATTTCATACGCGCAAACTAGCACATGTGCAAAGCAGTTACAAAAACTGGCACAATGCCAAATGGCATAAGTGCAAATGGGCATAACTGCACAAAAAGAATTTCAAACATTGGCATAATTGCAAACTGGCATATGTGTAAATTGGCATAAGTGCGCTAAATAGATTTACAAACATTCGCATAAGTGTGAATTGCCATAAGTGGGAACTGGTATAAGTGTGAAGCAGTTGCAAAAACTCGCAAAAGTGCAAACAACATAAATGCAAACTGGCATAAGTGTGCCAAATAAATTTGCAAAATTTAGCATAATTCCAAACTGCGAATTTATTACACGCATTTATGTCAGTTCGCACTTCTGCCAGTTTTTGTAACTGTTTTGTACGTAATCAAATTTTGCACTTATGCCTATTCGTATTGTTTGCTAACCTGTTTGGCGCACTAATGCCAATTTACACTTTTACCAGTTTGCAAGTTTATAGCTATAGGTTATCCTATAGCTTTAAACTTTAGTCCAGATAATTCTTTTAACCCAGATAATATTCATATATATGACTACACTAATGGTTAGTGTACACTTATGATCTGGACTATATTAATGGTGAGTGTGCTATTTTTTAAATAATAGATTAGATTTAATTAATAGATAAACTGTATCGTTAAATTAAAATCTAAATGTTTAATTACATTTAGATTTTATGGAAAAAAAGAAAAAAATTTTAAATACAGTAGTTAATTATAATTTCATAAATTATAAGATATAATATTATTAAAATATATTATTTTTAGATTTATGACAAATTCGCTCATGGCCAAATCTAATATGGCAGCTGGAAAAGGCAAAGGATCTTTTTAGCCTAACTAAGCTATACAACTTAATAAAAGGTACGTTTATATATATATATATATATATATATATATTATATATATATATATATATATATATATATATATATATATATATATATATATATAATCTATATATATATATATTATTAGGCGGGATTGTATTTCTAATTTACCGAATACTAACCTGTTTCCTTTTTTTCTCCTCTTCAAGCACTGTGTAAATATATATATATATATATATATATATATATATATATATATATATATATATATATATATATATATATATATATATATATATATATATATATATATATATATATATATGAATATATATATCCAATGTGATACAAAATACAAAAATATTTAAACCTCAATTTTATATATATATATATATATATATATATACATATATATATATATATATATATATATATATATATATATATATATATATATATATATATATATATATATATATATATATATATAAATATATATATATATATATACATATATATATATATATGTATATATATATATATATATATATGTATATATATATATATATATATATATATATATATATATATATGTGTGTATATATATATATATATATATATATATATATATATGTGTGTGTGTGTATATATATATATATATATATATGCAATGTGAAGTTATATATATATATATTTTTAAAACATATATTTGTAATTTAAAAACTTATTACTATTATTATTATACTATATATTATTATTAAACTATAATACTATTATTACTGTTCAAATTGTCTGTTTTAAATATATAGTTTTTTCTTTTAGTTTGTGCATCGACTTCTCACGAATCATACACAGAGTCGATTGTCGATGCAATAATTGCTGATTCGTGAAAACGGGCAACTTTTGCTTGTCTTAAAGTGCCTTAAGGTGGTAGTATCGTCAGAAATTTCAAATTTTTTTTGATTTTTTGAATATAACTTTTCCTGGCATTTTCATTCATGCTGAAAACGATGGAACTATTATTTTTTCAATATAATCTATATAAAGCCTTCTATTTTTCATTTTAAAAAAGGTACTATGAATTATTGCTCCTTAGCAACTCCATAGCAACAAAAGTAAACAAAACAGTATTGGTTCTTATTAATAAGAACCAATACTGTTTTGTTTACTCAATATATTGAGCTGCCTTAAACAAGTATTTTCTTCAGTAAGTGTTTAGAAAATACTAAGTGATATTTGGCTTCTTTTTTTCCCTTAAAAATTAATTATAATCACTTTATTTCTTGGCGTGATTGTAAAGTGGCTTCAAAGCAAATATTATTTCAGTTATTAATGTTGAATATAGCCTGAGTTTAATTGCTTAGCATTGTTATTTTTAGTTATTTAGTGTATATTAAAATAAATAAATTACTTCTAATCGTTAAAATGAAAACTGATGCTTTGAGGAGAAGAAGTATTGGTGCTTCCAGAGTTTTTTAAAAAAGAAGAAGAACTTCAAGAACATCAAGTTCGTCTATTTTTCCCCAAACTGAAAATACTTTTGCAAGCAGAGAATTGCCATTAATTGAGAGTAATGATTTAAGCATTTTACCTAACTTTACAAGATTAACCAGCAATGTTGTTGCTAATAATGGAGCTGTTCCACAACCTCAAAGTAATAAAAACGAGTCTAACTATATTTTAATTGATCTTGATATTATTGTACAAATTATTACCTTAGTTGGAACATGCCCTGACTGTGAGAGCAAGTCTATCAACTTAAATATAGATCATAAAAATAAAAAAGGTTTAAGTTCATTGTTGATATTGAACTGCAGTGAGTGTTTATGGAAAACAAAGTTCTATACCAGTAAAAAAGTTTCAGATAAAACTTTTGAAAAATCTTTTGACATAAATTTACGTTCTGTAATTGCAATGCGTGAAGTTGGAAAAGGACACAGTGCATTAGAAAAATTATGTGGTTTTTTAAACTTACCACCTCCATTTCAAAAAACTAATTTTAATGATATTCAAAATAAAATATTGCTGTCATATAAATATATTGCAACACAATCAATGATCAATGCAGCTCTTGAGTTTACATTAAGAGATGATACTGGGATTTCAGATATTACTGTTTCTTGTGATGGTACATGGCAGAAACAAGGACATAACTCTTTAAATGGTATAGTAACTGTTGTTGCGGTTGATACAGGCAAATGCCTTGACTATCGTGTTCGCACAAAAAAATGTAAAGCTTATGAACTCTGGGAGGATAAATTTAACTCTGATGAGTATGAAGAGTTTTTGCAAAAACATAACAATAACTGCTGCCTCAATCATATTGGATCTGCTGGATCTATGGAAGCAGCAGGACTTGTTGAGTGTTTTAATGCTTCTGTTTTAGAAAGAAAATTAAGATATATAAATTATCTTGGAGACGGTGACTCTAAAGCATTTTCAGATGTTCAAAAACAGAATCCATATGATGGAAAAGAAATAACCAAGCTTGAATGTGTAAGTCATATTCAAAAACGAGTTGGATCAAGACTAAGAAAGTTAAAAACAACTAATAAAAGCTTATTAAGTGATGGTAAAAAATTAGGGGGAGTTGGTCGTCTAACAGACAAAAAAATTAACAAGTTACAAAATTATTTTGGAATTGCGATTCGTCAATGCTGTGGTAAATCTGTATATGAACTAAAAAAGGCTATTGGAGCTGTATTATTTCATTGCTTTGAGGCTTCATCATTTGATCTAAGACATGCAATGTGTCCTCGAACTATTGATACTTGGTGCAAATATCAAGCAGACAGAATAAATAAAACAAACGTTTATAAAGAAAAACCAGGTCTGCCTACTGTTATTAGGGACATAATCAAACCAATATTTATTGACTTATCTGATGAAAACCTGTTAAAAAGGTGCTTTCATGGAAAAACTCAAAACAACAATGAATAGCTTATGGTCCTGGAAGTTTTTAGTTGTTTTGCTTTATTTCAATTGATATAACTATTTTAAAATTATAAATTTGGTTGTCATAATTTTTACTTTTATATATATTTTTTTTATTTTATATTTTTCATTTTTTAATTACAAGGATATAACCTTCTATATGGTACTTAAAAAAGTAATTAAAATTAAAGATAAACTTAGTTTATTGCTTTTAATACATTGAGGAGTGATTACAAAGTATTTAGAAATATAACGAGAACTTATTTGATATTTTAACTTGTTTTTTCGATGTTAATTTTATTAAATTGCTGTTTTCTCAGATTGCCATTTTTTAGCACGGGGCAATAAATAACTTGGGAACCACTTGTTATGGTGCTTTAAAATTTTATACAGTTGTAATAACATATATGATGAGCTCATTGAAGCAGTATTTTTTTTTAATATTATTTTTTTGCAGAGTTATGGGCTCCTAAAGGGGGCTGTTTTGGGGTAAATTTTGACCCACTAGTTATATATGCTGTATCTCCTTATTGATTTAAGCTAACTTTACAATTTTGCTTCCATGAGTTTAATAATATATTATAAGTAAGCACTGAAAGTTTGAGTTTTATAGCATCTACCATTGTCTCATTATTTATCGCAGCATCTTTTGACTTTTTTAGGTTTCGCGACCTAAAACTTGGGTCCAAATATAAAATTAAATTTTTTTTTTATTACTTCATTATTTATGCAATTTTTTTAATACTATCCAAAAAAATCAATAGTCTTTGTTCAAAATTAAAGGTTTTAGAATTCTGAGGATACTACCACCTTAAATCCATCGTTATAATATTACTTTGTTTGTAAATTGTTTTAAAAAATAAATTTAAAAATAACTTTTAAATAAATTTTTTATTTTTCTTATTTTTTAAACCAACAGGTTCTTTTAAAAACAATTTAATAATAGTACCTATGGATTTGGAAATATTTTCCAAAAAATAAAGTCTTTTAAAAGTTTAAAAGACGCCTAAATTATGGTTTTATTTAGGTTATTTGAGATTGATTTTTAAACGTTTTTTTTAGAACGTTTTTTAAACGACTTTTTCAGAACGTTTTTTAAACGCTTTTTTAAAAACGTTTTTTAGGTATTGCCATTCAGAACGTTTAAAAAACGTTTTTTTTCTTAGTTAAAAAAACGTTTTAAAAACGTTCATGTGCTTACTGGGCAGAGAGGATGGAAATTGGACGATAGTGTTTTACATTAGTTTTTTTCTCCTTCTTTAAAAATAGGAATAAATTTTTGCTCTTTTTAAATCATCAGGAAAAACTCCCTGATTAATAGAGCATTTTTAAAAAATTGAAAAAGTATGTCTTTTAAAACGTCAAAACAGCTTATAATAATATTTCCGTTGACATCATCAGGACCAACTGCTTTATTTGACTTAAACAATTTAAAAGCACTTTCAAACTCTTCAAAAGACAAATCAAAAGAATTTAGATACGAGTTTAGAGGTTCATACATTGCTTTTATTAATTTTTTAGGGTTCGGAATTTTTTTTCGGCTAGGTTTGGTCCTACAGATACAAAATATTCATTAAATTCAGAAGCAATTGATTTTTGATCAAGAAGAAGATTGTTATCTACTTTAATAACTGAGGGCAAAGATTGCGACATTTTTTTTAGTGTTACCAGTAATTTCGTTTATTAGTTGCCAAGTGCGTTTTTGAGTTTAATTTGTATTTTTCAAGTAAATTAGTGAAATATTTTTTTTTTTGAATTTTTCCTTAGGCGTTCAAATAATCTTACGTAATTTTTATAAATAGTCTTACTTTCAGTTGTTTTTTTGATTTTAAATATTTAATATAAAGTTTTTTGAAGATTTTAGAATACTTTTAGTAATCCATAGCGATACAATTTTTTTATATTTGTCATTTACTTCTACTTTGGGAAAATCGATGTCATAAATTTCATAAAAAATTTTAAAAAAGGATTTGTATATTAAATTGTCTTTTATTAAATATATTTTATTAAGTATATTAAATATTAAATTTTATTAAGTATATTAAAATGTCTTCAGAAAAGTTTATAATGTCCCAATTAATTAACGATAGTTGATATTTAAAAGATTCTAGGTTTTTATTATGAAAAATTCGTTTATTAAATGATTTTTTTTCATAACATATAATTTTTGAATAAATATCAATTGAAAAAATTTAGGGAAGTGACCTGATATATCACTTTTAATAATGCCTTTTTTAAGCGAATTATTAAAAATATCGTTGGTTATAATGTTATCAATTAAGGAAGTTGTTGTTTGAGTAATTCTAGTTAGTTTGTTTATTAGAGAAATTGCTCCATTTTCAAATAGGTCATTATAAAACCCATTAATGTCTTTTTTGACATGATACTCAAAGCAATTTAAATTCAGATCCTAATATGTAAAGTAATTTTTTTTCATAGTTGCTTTTACTTATAACATCATCTTGTAAAAATGTACTAGAAGTTTTAATTTCGCCTGTAGGTGGGCGATAACAACAGCTAATCACAATGTTTTTAGTTTTATTGTTCAATACTTCAATTGTTAAAACCTCTTTATTGACATCAGAAATACTCATGTCATGCCTAATATAATACTGAAGGTTTTCTTTTACATAAATAATTAAACCACCGCCGCGTTTATTTGTTTTCCGCCCTAATGAAATCAAATTATAGCCCGGTATTTTAAATTTATTATCTAAACTTGAGTCATTAGAACTACACCAAGTTTCAGTTATGCATATTACACTAAAAAGAGTTAAATTTTCCTCAAAACTATTGCAAAGATTTTCAAAATTTTTTTTTTAAACTTCTTTTTATATGAACTGCATTAAATATATCATGCTCAAGAAATTCTTTTATTTCATAACTATAGAAACAGCTGCAGTTGCTTTGTAAAGCACCTGTTTCGCTTAAAAAACTTTGATCCGGATCGGACTCTTTGTTGAGTATAAAATCATTGAATTGAAAAATATCACAAAAAAGAGTGATTTGAATCCATTTTAGTATTTAAAAACAATAAAAATTTAAGATAAAATAATAACTCTAATATAAAAGAATTTCTTAATTGTTGCGCGTTACAAGTTTATTATATACAACTTTAGCATATTTACCTTTAGTTTTAGTTTATTTAGTTTATTATTTATTTCGCCGTTAAAAATATTTACAAAGTACAACAATATAAAAAGTACAATTGGCTGGAGCAAGAAGAAGGCATAAAATAGCCTTATCACCGAGCCCCAATAGTAACGCAAATAACTATCCGTAATATACAATAATCCGTAATATATAAGCAAAAGTATTTAAAAAAAGACAATTCGAAATGTTAAGAAACAAAGTTAAAAAGAAGAAAAAAAAAAAATAGTATTAAAATAATTGAAGAAAAATAAAAAAAAATAAAAAGAAATGATTAAAATACAGTAATAAAAATGACAAAAATTTTCTGTTTTTGGTTATAAATTGGATGTGATTCGACATATATATTTGTATATATTATTTTCTTTCAAAATAATTCAAAATTCAAATAAAAATTTTGTTCCAATATTATAAAATGTATCAAGAAAATTGTAGGTAACTTTAAGAGAATATATATATTCAATGAAAGTATGATAAAGACATTGTAATTCTTAGTATTGTTAAATGGTCTACACCATTTCAAGATGTAAATGAGAACATGAAAGTTGTAATTAGGAAGTCGTAATATGTAATTACGAAACACAACATGTAATTGAGAATACGTTATATGTAATTGAGAAACACAACATGTAAATAAGAAGTCATAACATATAATTAAGAAACACAACATGTAATTGAGAAAACGTAAGATATAATTGAGAAATCATAATATGTAATTGAGAAATCGTAACTTGTAATTGAGAACACATAAATTAAAATAGCAAATTCACAGTCTAAGTTTGTAGGTTGTTACAAAAGGTCTTTTTGGACATGAATTTAAGTTATAATCTTAAATTTTGCTTTTGTATGCACAAGTAATAATAATGGAATTGAAAGATCGTTGTGTTATATGCCAATACACTATGACCCGAAAGTCTGGGATTAAGCTAAATCCGTGTCAACATTTATGTCACCAAATTTGTTTACGTCCAGTTCTGGAACAACCAGATTCAAGTTGTCCGATTTGTCGGCATGAAATACACACAACTGAACAAGTTGAAAGGAAACGTTACGTTTTATCTTCTCCAAATGACAGGAGAAGAGTTGTTAAATGTGCGGAGCGATTTGAAGATTGGGTGAATCTCGCGCAAACGCTAGGTATCAAATATAAGACAGCATACAATTGGGTTCGCAGCGGAAATTCAAATTTCATCGGAAAAGGAGGTCTTAAACCGAAAAAGTTGACCGAAGATCAAATCGAAGAAACATTAACATGGATTGAAAATGATTGTCAATTAACATTGGTGGTCATCAAAACAAAGATATTAAGACAATTTAACATAAACGTTAGCACAACAACAATAGCAAATTACCTCGAAGGCAGATTGTTCTCATTAAAAAAAGTGCACAAGGAGCCTTCTACAATGAACAGTTATGAAAACAAACAAAAAAGAGCTGAATATGTTAGAAACATCAACAAACATATCACAAATGGTCGTCAGATAGTTTGGTTGGATGAAACAAATTTTAACCTTTTTTGTAGAAAAACGCAAGGACGCGCGAGACAAGGAAAAAGAGCAATTATGAAAGTACCGGCTTCAAAAGGTTTAAACATACACTTGATCGCAGCTATTTCAACTACAAATGTCGTCATGATAGAAACTCGCAGGGGATCATTTAAAGCAGATTCCTGTAACGAGTGGATGTTGGCTATGTTTCACCAGTGGGTTACATCCGGGAATCGTTTGGAGGATTTGGTCGTCGTAACAGATAATGCTCCTTGTCACGCTCGTTTGCAAAGGGTGTTTAATAATTCACCAGCTCAGTTGTTACGTTTGGGATCATACAGTCCAATGTTGAACCCAGTGGAAACGATCTGGTCCAAAATTAAAAGTAACGTTAAAAATGCAATT